TTTTTATATTTTCCCCTTTAATATCCTGGATGATTAAAGGTCAAAATGCTTAGCTTTTTTTCCCCCTCTTTACAATACTCTTGATAGATAATTTTCTGGAACTGCTACAACACGAAGTTATGTATTTCCCTATCAAAGACTTAATTTCAAGTAATTTACTATTTAATTTCCTATTTCATATCTCTATTGTTGTAAGATCTATGCATAAACACAGTGTAGCTAATGGTTCCAACAAGCCACTATAGTAAAACTTCACAAATACCTTACTTAATGCACAGCAGGAACAAGATAAACAAGTGCTGTATGTATATTCTTTTTTTGGCTCAGAAAAAAAAAAAAGCTTAAGTTATTGGTTTAAAAAGAACTGAAAATCAAAAGGAAACACTCATATCTGGAGCACAGCCTTTTAACACAGTTACAATTTGCTTAGGAAATGCAAGAAAACCATTGCAGCTGTTGCTGTTCAGTTATTCTGATCTATAATGAAAGAAACTGCTCATTATTTTAATTGTTATGTTTCTCTCATCATAATTTTAACTCAGTTCAGTGCTCTAAAATGAAATTCAACAAAGATTCCTACTAAGATAATGAAAAGTTATATACCTTTACTAGGGAAACCAAATTCAGAATATGAAAATATTATGAACCTTGAATAGGACATAAATGCTAATAATATAAACGGTATGGAAGTGTTCAAATGGAAAAGAAAAAAATAGAAGTTATTCTCTAGCCATTCTGCACAAGAGGCTTGTAGTGCCCATCAGCTGCATGTCACCCAGCATGTATTACAAAGGAGACCCACCAGCACCTCCCCAACACACAGCACAGTCAAATAATAGGATTAAGTGCTCTCTGTCTGGTCTGGACAATTTCAATCCCTTATGAAACAGAGCAGAGGTGTCTATCTCCTCCAGTGAAAGTGCTGTGAGACCAGTCCTTACATTCTGACTCAAGCCTGGGATGATGTATGACTATTCATGGGGAAAGGGTGAGCTCCCTAGTAAATATTTTGATTTCTTATTATTTATGTAGGACCTCCGTGAAAACTTTATACCACAAAACCTAAAATACATCCAAACAGGTTCAAATGAGTGCCAGTAATTTTTTGTCCACTCCTTCACTTATTAGCCAAGTTCTAATCACATAACTAGTGGTGATTTAGTAATCTAACACATCCAGGAGCTTAGTGGAGCTCTGGAACTTGAATTTGATTGTTTTCATAGTAAAATTATGATGGGGCAGACAATAAATGACAAAAAAAAAAAAAAGAAGAAGAAAACAATCCCTCAAACAGGTCCTCCTTCAAATTCTGACAAGTAGATCCCATGAGGAAAATATAATAAACTTGAATTAAAAACTTGTTTAACGCTTAAGTACAATTTCCTCTAAAGGTCTGTAACACACAGCCAAAGCCATGAACTCAACACCAGCATTCTGCCACCTCAAGAGAAGGGAATGCAAACATGAATACTTCTTGAACAGCTTCTTACTCAACTTCTTAATTATATTTACTTTTAAAATCTCTCAGTGCTAATACTGAAATATTAGTACACACCCACGTGATAACACATTTAACTTTCTAATTATTTTCCAGCAAGCAATAATTGCAGGAGCTCTGGTTAAAAGGAAACTCAATAATCACAGTGAATTGGTGAATTTGAAGAGACTCTGGAGCTGCAGCAGGCTGTAATATTGTGACAGTTTTTACATCTTACAATTACGGTCACTGTTAAGGGAAATAATGGATTTCCAAATTTGGCGACAGAGAGAAGCAGTTTGATGTGACATAAACTTACAATTATTTTAGTTCATTAGGATATATTACAAAGAAAAAATAAACAGTCTACAGTCCTATAAAGAAACACGTTATAATAAATAGGTACAAGCTGAATAAAAGGAAAAGTAATGACTTGGTCAAACCTCAGAGGGAAGCAATGCCAAAGTCATGAGCCTCAAACAAGGAATGTATAGACAGAGGATCTGACATATGGATGCTTTCTGCAGAGGAAACCTCTGTTTGGAGTGCAAGTCATTCCAGCTAATGGATAAGTCATGTTCATTGACAATCACATTAGCCCTTTTTGCTATTTTAGTCAAATAAGGCTAATCATTTAGCGTGTCTAATTTATATAGCTATGAGGGTGGGTTATCAGTACAGATGTACCGAGGCATAAAAGACTTGGGAACACTGACCTATCTGTCAAATTTGATCAAGTCCAGTGAAATTCAATTTGTTAATCTTGCTGCACAATCCTCCCCTCATGCACTCTAAACACTAATACATTTTGTATTGCACAGTCTACACTGAGACTTCTTAGTTAGATTAATCAGAATCATGTATGAGCAATGTTAACATTTGGAGCAAGGGATCCAACTTTCAGAATGAGGAGGCTAAAAGCAGGACTGTAAATCTGTAAACATTTGTAAGATGTATTTGCATACCCAGTTCTCACTCTAAAGGGCAAGACCACAGTCTAATGTTTTACCAAGAACTACAGTGACTAAATGCAATCAGGTCTGTGTTCCCATTGAACACAGAGAATGTTGGTTTTGCCTGTGCACATATCACACATACTCAAGCTTCAAAAACTAACCAGTGCCTGATATACATCTCTGGACTTCTCACTTCTCTAAAATAGTGATGAAGACTCATTTTGTGCCTAAAGCCAAAGTTTCTGAGCTGAAGAGTGCAGCTCTCCTAGTACCCACTCAGGTCTCATTCCAAAGGAAATATCTTTTTTCTTCAGCTACCTAAGTTGACATTGGTCATAAAGTTTAACCTTGATCTTTGAATCCAGTACTACCTAGAGATGTCCATGGGATCTGGATACAGTGAACTGAAATAGCACAAACTCTCAACAGTTGATTATTTCTTTTTGCTGTTTCCAGGTGACTCTAAGAGTGGCTACATTTGTACAGATGATTTTTCCAATATTTGCATAATATGATATATAAAAATCTGCAGTTAGGAGAACCTCAGTCCTGGTTTGTTTCTCGACAGTCCTCCAGTTATCCTTCTGAAGGAGTTTTCTACCTATTTTTTTCTCTTGCTATACAGGACAAGAGAACATTCCTGTTTTCCAGTCCCTGCCCAAATTGCATACAGAAGCTTACTGGATTGAATTAGGGACAATCAAACTTGAATAATCATTATGTTCCTCAATTTGAGACAAATTGGGATAATAACTGTACCCAAGTATAGACTCCAGCAGATACATTTGTCCTTCAATCATACCAGAATATTCAAGAAATAGTTCTGGAACACAGAGAACATGAGCTAGAGGAGAATGACCACAACAGACTTGACTTAATCTGCCTTAAAATGTCTTATTTATTTCTAGTCATGGAAATCACCACAGAGAGACACTGAGTTAACACCCTCACGTGTTTGCAGGTGCTTTGTGAGCACAGGTTCCCTAGCACCATGAAAGGGACATGACCTCCCTTGTTACTTTGGTTTCTTTATAGCACTAGCCAAAATCATAACCCAAGGTTTGCAATGGCTGAAATATGTTATAGTTCCCTAGTTTGTGAATTATGGTTTGGGACATGTTTTTCTTGTTCTTTCCTTACACATCTGAGGGAAGTTCAATGCTTCCCTATCTGTTTACCTCTTTTGTAAGAGGTGGAAAAACTAAAATCCCAATTAGCTTCTGTTGGTTAAAACCTTGTTTGAATAAGTTTTTACATACAGGAAAATACATATATCTAAATATTCCTGTTTGTCTGGAACTTGTTCCATTGGTATGAAAAGTTATTTGTGAAGTTACCTTTAACACAAATTCACATTTACACTTGTGTATATCTTTGTGAAGTTAACTTTAACACCATTCACATTTACACTTGTGTATATCTTAGCAGTCTGTTCAAGCTTACACATCTAGAATGAAGACTCATATGTGGATGAGAAAAAACCAACACCCTAGAGTTTCTTTAAGCTAAGAGTCCTGGATAATAACTTCCAGTCTAATTATGGCTAATGTGATGGTGATATTTGAAGCTCTGTATTAGTCTCGAGACAGAAAGCTTTACTAGATGAACAGTAAGAAGGTCAGGAAGAAGCACAACTGCAGCAACAAGGGGCTGAAGTTATCATCTTCATCATTAGGGGGGAAAAAAAAGGCAGCACAACATGGGTGTCACTATTCAAATTTATAAAGCTTCAGTGAACACTTTCCCATTGTGCACAAGTGAGATCATGGCCCTACCCAGACACTCCTTTGAGCAGCTCATCCTGAACTGGTGTGTGAGCACAAAGCCCAAGGCTACCCAGTTCTAACCACAGAAATTAACTTCTCTTCTTGGATGCTGTAATGCTGAGAGAACATTTTTTTAATTGCCTTACCATGAGAGCATCAAAAGACAGCAAATTCTTGCATCACATGCCTTTCTAGTGGACAGCTGTGTAAAGAACAATTCATAGCTCCACTCCTGGATAGAACTGTCAACAAACAGTACATGTTCTAACTCCATGACAGCAATTAATAGCTGAGATACTTTAAATATATACATCATAAATAAAGAAAATTAGGTACATATCTGCACATCTATATGTGCATGTGTGAAATATGGATATATATTATCCACCTAACTGGAAGACTTGGTGAAAATTATTTCAAGACATGCTGAAATAAGAAACTAACACATACAAAAAGGAATGTTTCTACATGGCTGAGGATGTGTTTAAGTTACCATCTATCATTAGAGCAAAGTAAATCTCCCCTACTTCAATATTCTTGTTTGAAGGAATGTTTCTACATGGCTGAGGATGTGTTTAAGTTACCATCTATCATTAGAGCAAAGTAAATCTCCCCTACTTCAATATTCTTGTTTGAGGGGGAATTGTGGGTTTCTTTGCTTTATTTTATTTTCAACTTTCTTCACATAACTATTGAACCAGTGTCAGTAGTGGAACCTGCATGACAGAGACCTTGATAAACAGGGTAATTATCAAAAAGTAAAAGAGTCAAACATAATTAAATCTCAGAATAGTATTATACCTGCAATGATGTCATCCATCTGCTCCAAAGCTGCTTCCAGCATGTGACTAGCGTCAGAAGTCATGATCTGTGTTTTCGTCAGACCTTTACTCTTTCTACTGAAAAGACAGATGAAACCATTGTGTATTACACTAAATAACCTGAGAGACAAAAATATGTCACTTACATTATAAATTAAGCCACACAAACTAAAGTCCACACTAGCAAAAATACAGCACAGCAACAAGAAAACTAACAAAACTCTTCCTATTCTTGATAGATCACTTGGGATTTCTAAGGCTTTAATTAAGTGTTGATTCATTTTTTAAAAAGAGATTTTACTAAAGCAAGGGAAGGCAGATGAAAACAAAACCAATCAATCTCAAATACTGCAAGCTTGAGATTCCTCTACCTCTCATCATTAACAATGGTTTCCTAGATTCAAAGTTCAGTGAATTTCAACATTTTGTCTGTGGAAAAAAGAGAACTGACTAGGGTTTAATGAAAGAATGAAGACTTGGTGCAAAGCATGCTTAGCCTATGAACAAAACTCTGTATGAGCTCTCCTTTTTGACTGCTGCCTTAAGAGGAAAGGCAATTCTGAAATAGTTTTTACTTCTCCTTTCTATGCCCCCATTCAATTTTCCACCACTTCTTTCATGACCCTGAAAATACAATCCTTTCTGTTCTAATAACCAGAATGCTCCAGAAATGAAGATTCTGAAGTTACTGTTGCCTCTTTAAAACAGGATTAAATACATTCATTTTACTATCTGACATTAAGGATAACACATAAAATCTTCCAAAATTAGTCTCTACTTGTGTGTTGGTGTTGCTGGACTCTTAGTCAAACAGCAGTCACTGTTGTCAACAGATGACATTTCATAGGGGAAATGAATTTATTTAGTCCATTTCACTGCAAGTGAGAAAATTCCCTCTTAAATAAGGCCCTTTTGCATATCACTTCATCACTGAAGTATGAGACCAGTGCCCACACAGTGAGGAACAGGGATCACACTTATACATGATCTTCACAGTGCCCTAACACACAACTCAGAATACTGGCAAATAGGGATCACACACTACATGATCTTCACAGTGCTCTAACACACAACTCAGAATACTGGCAAAGCCTACAAAGGGTCACAGAATTCTGAATTCTCTTCCATGAAGGGGGCAATTCAGTCTTCTGACATTTAGTCTTCAGATACAGCAAGTTTTAAGATCTGTGATTAAAAACTGCTCAATTTTGAGAGTTTTCTAAGCATCACAAAAAACCTGCCTGGAACTGGCTAGAGATATCCTTCCAATGGCACAACTTGTAGATAAGTGTATAGGCAATACTCACATATTTGTGGGGCTAATTATCCAATGTTACTGAAATGTCACTAATCTTTATTTATCATGCAACTACTTATGCTAAGAATTCAAGTATTTGGAATTTAAATAAATATTACAATAATCTCTAATGGCATTTCACATAGATTTGTCCTGTGTTCATCAGTGACCACCAAGGCCAATTGCAAGACTGGCAGCTAAACCACTCATATTTATTCTCTCAGTTGCAGCCTGACTAAACACTAAATGCAGAAGCTGCACCTAGAGGATAAAGTCAGCTTTAAAATAAAAGTTTACCCTTTTTTTTTTTTTTCAGTGGGGCCATCAGCAAAAATACCCCAAACCTGGGTCCAAATTACTTCATCACAATTAATGGTCAATCTCTGTAATAAGCCTGATGCAATGAAAATTTGCACTATCAAGTCAAAATTACTTTCTTCTCTTGCAAACTAAGAATCCTGTGACACAGACTTTTCTCCATGCTGCTGGTGAAAAATCCACAATGAAAGCTAATGTATTAAAAATCTCTGTGATATCAGTGTCCTATGTCCATTCCAGTCAATGTACATAACCTCACTATCTAGAGAGACAGATGCAGGAATGAGTCAGAAACTACAGTGTTCTAATTTGAACTCTGCCATTTATAGCCTGTCATAATGGGTAAGCCATTATTTATCTCCAGATCACATTGATCTGAAAAGCAATATGAGAATGCCTTATCTTTAGTGTCACCCAAGGCAAAGATTAACGTAAATGAATGGTTGGTTTTGGTCTCTCCATTTTTGTCAAAATAATCATTTAAGTACAAACAAGGCTAAAATGTAACTGAACTCAACCAAAACACACATCACACAAATACTTCATTTAATGGTATTGGAAACAAAAGAAGCTGTGCTCAGAATAATCTGGAAAGTCATTAAATCAGCTGATATAAACTTAAAATTCCAGAAGGCTTACACAAGAGAACTTTACAGACACTCCCTCTGATTCTGCTGCTTCCATGTGTTGGTTCGGGGAGATTTCCATCTCCTGTTGTCACCTTAACATGCCACTAAAGACTCAGAGATCCCCAACTGCAATGAGCCTCCTTCCTTGGAATATTTCCTCTAGTTCAGAGCAGCCATAACATGGGTAATAATCACCTGGGTGAAAGGAAATCCACCTACAGTAAGCAGTGCCAAGGAAGTGCCTGTGTTCCCTCGTGCCTTCGGCGGATGTGGCCACCAGCCACTCCCCCAGAAATGTATGGCCACCAGCTGTGTTACTAAATTAGGACAGCAGACTGGCTTAAAATTAGGAGGAAGAAAAAGCGTGAAAAGCATTAACAATAGCATAAAATTTCTATTTCTGGATTGCACTCCATGGTCTTACGTGTGCTGTAAGCTACTGCTCCACAGGCTCAAAGCAGCAAAGGCAATACAAAGCTGTTACAACAAGAAATGCTTGACTACCATTTCATCTAAACATCTAATATATGGTATTTGACCATCTGCAGCGACAAAGGTACAGAAAATGCTGATACGTAACATGACAAACTTGAAAATATACTCCGAGAAAAATCTTCCATCAAGGCTTTGGCAGAACCCACTAAGTTTTGCTAAAAACACCACCAGAACTAAGTCTTCTATCTCCTCCAAACATCCACACTCAGCCTGTTTTCTCACCTGTACCCACAGTGTATTTGCTGCTTAACTGCCTTAAGTCAAAGTAAAACCTGCTGATCAAACAACGATTCATTAATGAAAGCAATGTTCTTTGCTCCAGAGGATAATGTAATATTACTTGCTTGACATCTTTTTCTAGACAGACCTGTTGCTTGTGCTTCAGGCAAGTCTTACTTTCCCAGACACTCCCTTCTTACAGTTTGTCTGTTCTGAGAAATATTATGAAAATATCTTCTTAGCTCTTTTGTGCTTTCAGTTACCATTTCTGAACTAGATCTATAGAAATATCCACAAGTGTGGATTCTTCCTTTACTATTATTAAATAACAAGACACCTGTATCCATCCTGAGGAATGTCAAGTGCCTCAGCAGGATCTACCTATTTGCTGATATTTTAACTACTTTATTTTTATAATTTTCACTCCTGAACGACATCAAAAGATGCAGAACACCATGACTTATATCCTTATGTGAAAATATACATATAGTTTGGAAAAAAAAATCTTCCAGCTTTGAAAAGGAACATAATCTACCTCTAATATTACAATATATTAGCAAATTCTTTCATTTTTTTGGATTAATTTATATGCCACCAAAATATAAGAATGAATCTACTCACCTTTCCTGGTCCCTAAGAAGGTAAGAATTGACTTTTTTTTCCAGATCAGTAAAAATTTCTCACTATTAATAGCCAAAGTTTTCCTGTTAAGCAGACATAAGTCTAAATTATTATCATCCCTTCTAAGCCACACGCTCATACTAATTTAGAGCCCAACCCACAGAGCTATTGCAACCCTGTTTGTTATAATTATCCAAGTAATGAGATCTTCCAGGAAGTGCAGACAGAGCAAACTGGCCTGAATCCCTTACATTCATTTTGCTAAGCTAGTTTTACCCTCTAAGTCCCAAACTGAGATCTGCATTTCAAATAAAATGAAAAATCTCTGGTAGAACTATGGTGCTTAGAGCCAATATCCCTTGCAAATTTCTTAACCTACATTCTGTATGTAAAACTCAAGCTTAGCATGTCCAAAAAGAATGTAATATTTAACAGACATTTACTATGAGCAAGATGTTCTTCAGAATTATGAAAAGCTGTAATTAAATTTGACTTTTGCAGGGATGGCTCGAATCAGCAACTATCCAGAGATAAGGATGTGAACATTTAGGCAACTCAGATGTTTTTCCAAGGTCACTCCCATGAGGTTGCCAACTTGATCAGTCATAGAGAGGGGTGTGGGTTTTGACAAGAACTCTAGAAATCCGGATCTTGTCTGTGGCCTACAAGTTCCTCTTACATTTAGCAGACACAGCTCTTAATTCACTGCCACCTCCTTTTTTCATCCTGGGATGAATAAATACATACTTGTAAACTGCTTAAGTATTCAAATTCAAGTATGACATTGCTTTATACTTAATGCTATAATGAAATATCAAGTGCCTTGGGTAAGTTTCAGAAATCCTCCACTTTTCTTAAGCTGCAAGATGACTCCTGCATGGAAAGGAAGAAATACGCACAATTTCCACCCTTGCTATTTCCCACTTTGTTTCTCCCCCAGCCACAGCAACACAACTGCTGATTCACCTCTCCAACTGGCACCATGGTACTCATGACACCACCAACTACAAAAGTTGTAAATACATATTTGGGTCCTGGCCTTTTTGAACCTGGCATAGCTCTCTAATTAAGGTAATCCTTAGTCCCCAATAACCATCCACTGCTGCTGGGAACAGAAGAATTTCTGATGAGCACTACTTATACAGCATCCTCCAGGGCTATCCAGCCAGAAATCCTATTTATCTGACAGGCTGAGAGGGATGAGGCTGTTCAGCCTGGAGAAGAGAAGGCTCCATGGACAATTTCCACCAGCCTTCCAGTACCTACAGGGGAACAAGAGAGTTGGAGAGGGACTTGGCACAAGGACATGCAGTAAAAGGACAAGGAGGAATGGCCTTAAGTTGAAGGAGAGTAGGTTTAGATTAGATATTAGGAAGAAATTCTTTACTGTCAGGGTGGTGAGACACTGGAACAATTTGTCCAGAGAAGTTGTGGATGTCCTTTCCCTGTCAGTGCTCAGGGCCAG